ATATATATATATATATAGTAGTATCAGATAATGCTGTTATAGTGTACCAGAACAATGATATAAATGATGTACAGCGTGCAAGTGATGAATGACAGCCCAATGCTCAGTGATCTGTGAGCACTACTAAGCGTGTAGCAGGTTTTAAAATAACCTGCGATACAGTACTTTATTTTTGGTTTAAGGTCAGTTTATTTGTTTTTGTACAGGAAGCTTCAGAAAAAGATCTTCATGGCAAATATTTGATTTTCTTTTTTACGTTGTAATTTTCTTCCACAAGGGTGCAGTATGTGACTTCTGTGAAGCTTGGGTGTGCCACGGCAGGAAATGTCTTAGCACTCATTCCTGCGTGTGTCCTCTGACTGACGCAGACTGCATTGAGTGTGACCGCAGTGTGTGGGATCATGGTAAGACCCTGTCGTTTGATTGAAATTCACCCAGCCACAGCAGTGTCACATTAAAGATCACCACTGACTGTCTCAACTTCCTGATTAGGAGGGCGAATCTTCCGCTGTTCCTTTTGTCAAAATTTCTTGTGTGAGGATGATCAGTTTGAACACCAGGCAAGCTGCCAAGTCCTTCAGGCAGAAACATATAAATGTGAGTCATTCGTTTTGCCTTTCACAATGTCCTTTTTGTGGTTAATGGGGGGAAAGTAAAGTGTATCGGAACTGTTCCAGAGAATAATATCCAGGGGGTATGTGTGCCAAAGAGCAAATGTGATTTTTGTTTCGCCTTTTCTTACGTTCCATTTTAGGTGTTTCCTGTAATAGACTGGGACAGCACTCCTGCCTGCGCTGTAAGGTGAGGGTAACATCTATCCTCACTTCAGAAAACATAGTGGAGGGAGCTTACATGTTTATCGGCTACTTAAGAACCACTAGACCTTTTTCTGTAAAGCAAAAATATGGTATCAGCTCACATCTCCTGAATGATAAGAAAGAGCCAAATTGAATCCTCCCTCTTATTTGCTTTTGCGTTTAGTTTACAACACAACAGGAAATATTCCTGGTATGCAGGAAATATGCAACTGAAACTAAAATTAAAATAGAAAATGTTCTACTAGACGGCAGCAAGAGAGCGCTCCAACCAGATAAAACTTGATGTGGCCAAATAAGGCCAAAGCTGCTGTCCACAGAACAGGTTTCCCCTCCTTCACTGGGTTACAGCAATGTGCAGTTTGTTTACAAACAAACACAAGTTGTTTACCAATATGCGAAGTTATCTAATTGCAGCTTTATCTGAAAAGGGCACACGTTTTTGAAATGACTCAGCAAGCTTGTGAATAGTATAAGTTGGTTTAAAGCACATTTTTATTACATATACAAACTCAGTGTGCTTTACATAAAATACAATATACAACAAAAAGTAACATGTAGAGAATAATACAATAAATGAAACACAAGAAATTGCTGCAGGCTACAAACCGTCAAATAAAATTGGCAATCAGAATCAGAAATACTTTATTGATCCCCTGGGGGAAATATGTTTGTTACAGTTCTACTGTTTTACTTGAAATGAATGTATAGGTATGTACATAAAGTAAAAATAAAAATGGAAAATAGAAATATAATAAGAGTCTATATACAAAGTAAATGAGCCCCCCTGGTGACATTGGATCAAAAAAATGTATCCAACGTCACCAGGAGGCTCTGTAATTTTGAGCAGCCGAATTAAGTGTCTCTTGCTAAGAATTACTCCATGCCTAACCGCAAGTGACTGAAGTATGTCATTGTAATTCATTCCTATATTAAAATAAAATAAAATTAATTCAAACTTGTCCATGTTAACAATCAACAGTNNCAATAGTTATCTCGTGCCCACGCGTTACTATCTCGTGGCCACAAGATAGTTAACGCATTATTTTTTTTTTTAATCCAATGTCACCAGGGGGGCTGGGGGGATGGTGTTGCAGAAGTTATAGATAATTATAAAATAATAAACAAAATAATAAAGAATCACATAATAATCAAGTGAATTGCACGTTGACCCGGATATTGCACCTTAATCGACTTATTGCACATTACTAGCACCAGTTTAATGACTAGTGACTCAGAGTTTTGACACTCTGAGGGAGGAGTTAAAGAGTTTGATGGCCACAGTCAGAAATGAGGTCCTGTGCCACTCAGGCGGAATGAGTCTTGCACTGAAGAAATTTCTGTGTCTGCCCAAAGCACCCACCCACACAACAGATTAACACAGACACATGCAGTATAATTACATAACAAACACACTTTCAAGTCAGGTTTTAAATGACAATACTCACATACCCATATGTACATATGTAATCATTCCACCTGTCTATCCTGGCCGAAATGCATCCCTTTGTACACACAACAACAATAATGTGGTATTCCTCATTCTGTGTAAACATGCACTTCTTAAGTTCATCTGAAGGAACAAATGTGCTGACTGTCTTTGTTTTTTCCTCCAGACTTCCTCTTACTACAGCAAAACAGAGAGAGAATTTTGGAGTAGGAAGAATGCACTTTTGGACAAAAATTCTAACTGTTGATACCTCAAATTCAGCTCACCTTTAGCGTGTACCTTTTTTGCCTTAAAGTCTGTAGATCATTCATTAATTTATTAATTATTCCATAATTTCCCATCAGGAACAAAATGAAAACTATATTGAGTCCTAAAGCTCTAGTCTGCAACGTTGCAAAACGTCTTGCGCCCATGTCAACAGGTTCAAGTTCACTAGAGAGCTGCCACAAACAGACAGTGAAAAGTATATATGAATAGTCATAGCAACAATTGTTCCAGCAACATACACACCTTTTCTTTACAGTTCCAATGTCTTTATCGAAGGTAAACTCAAGGTAGGAAGACAGGGCTGTTTGGTTTAGTTTGTCACAGGAGATCAGAATTTATCAGACTGTGCAGGAGGAGGCAGGTGAGAAGCTCTATACCTGAGGCAGAAAAGGAAGACACAATGATGAATGAACTAGTCTAAACAAGCCTGAACAGTCATTAGATTTAATTTTCATATTTTCAAATCAGAAATTAAACTATATATCAAGATAATGCGTGTGCTGTTAATATTTACATGTGATGATTTGACCATTGTCCTCTCAGGCCTGTTACTGTGATGACCATGCCAAGAGTAAAGTCTTCAAACAGGAAAAAGGAAAAGCTCCACCCTGCCCCAAGTGTGGTCACGAAACCCAGGAGACCAAAGACCTCAGCATGTCCAGTGAGTCTAACGCACAAACTACTTAAAGTTGTTATTTCCAGTAAATCTGCCATTAGGAGGAAATTGCTAAATCATGACTTTGAGAAACGAAACAAGAAGAGTGAAGACGTTTTTGAGAAATTACATTATATTTCCCATAAAAACTTGTCACAAATGTGTCTCTCTTTTATAGGTTTTGGTTCCTCATATCACCTTTTTATTTAACATTTACTCACAATTTATTTTGACATTGACAGATTTATTTTTACTACTCGTTAACAAAAAGAGACCAAATGACACTTAAACCATGTTTTCTTTGATCCTGTGTGACTGCTTCACATACAACATTGCAGTATTACAGGATAACCTAATGTGATGAAATTGATTTATTCATCTTCAAGGATGAGACACCCTTGACCATGGAAAAAGTAGTTTGACAAAACATTAACTCAAGGTACACTTGGTACACACACAAGATTCTGCAGTTCAGCTGCTGTCATTTGACTGTTATCTCTTTGGGCTTGTTGGCATTAGAGAAGTGAGACACATTGTGTGAGCTCAAAATGAGTCAAGCAAAATCTCTGTTCTGCTCAAAGAGCTTGGTTGAAAATCTAATCTGTTGTGACTCACAAAAGGCTTTACAATATGTATGCATTATTACAATCTGGTGTAACAGAGTTACAGTTTAAATAAGTGTTAAAAGATCATTTAAATGCATTTTACACTGTGATACTGCATTAAATCCCAGTAATGACTTACATGTTTAGTGTACCATAGATCACCCAGATCAGTAATATGTTCTCTTATCTATCAGACTGTATAACTAATTTATTGGCGCGTGAGCAGCCATTCAAATTGGCTAGGAAACATCTGTTTTCTAAAAAAAAAAAAAGACAGAAGCTAATTTATTTAACATTTACTGTTTTTCAAAAATCCTCAAAGACTCTTCAGATCAAATGGATGAAAAAAAAAAACTTCCTTCCACAGTGGATATTTTGTTGTTTTTTAGGAAAACAAATACTTTGCTTTGTGACTCAGATGCTACCGTAATAATACATGAGAGGCACAAACTTGGCACAAATTGACTTTTTAATACTTACTGAAATCATTTTAAACGTTAATTACATGAACATGATTTACTAAAATTTTCTGAAACACAGAATTGATCTCGTCTGACTTTTTTTGTCACTTCACCATCCCAGTGAGTGAAACGTGAGTGAAACCTGAGCTAATGTCACAACTGTGTTCTCTGCAGCCCGCACGCTGAAGTTCGGCCGCCAGGCCGGAGCTGATGACGACGACGATGATTACGGAGCGTCAGGTTACGATTCCTACTGGAAGAACTTAGCATCTGGAGGCGGAGACCAACAGGACGACTATGGAGAGGAGGATGATGATGATGATGAGGACGATGACGAGGAGGACGATGACGAGGAGGAGGAAGATGAAGAGGAAGAAGAAGAAGGTGAAGAGGAAAAGGTCGCTGATTCTGTGGCTGTTCTTAAACTGGACGGGACTGCCTAAACTGAGACAGAGACTAGAGAAACCTGTACAGTCCCAACATGATGATTGTTACACGTCAGGAATGAATAAAGACATACAGAGGAAGAATTGCAGAGTATAGTTGGCATAACTGGGGCTGGGTATCAACACTAGGGCTGTTACGACACACAGACTCTTTACCTAACTAGAAGCGTCGGAATTAAAATATTGAGCAAGTTTTGATTTTAATCAGAAACTGACTTATAAGAACATAAGTAAACTGTTATAAATTATTAATCTGACCTGACATCCACTGCCAACATACATTCCTTGTTTTTGATAATAAATGGACATATTTCAGTTGGTACTGAAAAAGTATATAAAATTCTATATCCAGTCCTGGAGACGTCTTGTTTTCTGCTTTTGTTGTTACATTCAGGGCCCTCGAGGGGGACATATAGACCATTTACATTTTGACACAAACAAGTAACAGAGTTGCAAACAATAAATTTGCATTTCAAAGTTTTGTTTGAATGATTTTCTCAATGTTCTTTAACATAGAAACACAGGAATCATAATAATGTAACAATGCTGTATAGGTTTCTGTTATGACAATCAGTTTGAATTATTTCAACTTGGATATGGATATCGTGTTTTTTTTCTTAGCCTTAGCCACTGTAGCTGCATGGAGGAAGACAGTCAGGGATGCAAATCAGAGCTCCAGCTTGCAGAACAAAAATGGCGCTGAGTTTGTTACCAAATGAAGAAATTTAAGGTCAACGACTAGATAATTCTTACAGAAATGCACATTGGGTGTCATAGTTAACTTCTCTACCTGTGTGTTTGTTTGTTTATATGGTTACAGTCTTGTACCAGTCATATTTTCTAATGTAGTTGGTCATCCTTTGTACTGAACTGATGATGCATCCAGGAGAGTTTCATGACCATCCGAGCCTCGGAGGTGTTGGTCATCTTAACACTGTAAACTACATGAACAGAAAATGAACATGACTTTCACTTCTGGTTGCCTGAAACAACCTGTCTCACTTTGCAACTCAATAATCCCTTTTGGCCCTCATGATTTGAGTTCATATAGTACCTACTTTTCATGGTTTTATTTAACCTTTATTTAACTAGGAGAAGTCTCATTGAGATTAAAAATTCTCTTTTACAAGAGAGTCCTGGCCCAAGACAGGCAGCCATCCACAGTTCCAACAGTTTAACAGACCAATCATTAAAAAACAACAAAAAGAACATTATAGAGTCACAGTCAAGAACTCATCAAACAAGGTACATGTACAGACAGAAAGAGCAGCTTTTAACATCATAAGAAAGTTAAACCTGTTTATGGAACCCAGGCTTTAAGTTTTAGCCATTTTTGCACTGGTTCCAATGAAAAAAGGAGCAGGCATAAACTAAAAGCCCTTTTCCCCAGTTCAGTATGGACTCTAGGCCACCAGTCAGTAAAAACCAAGTCCGTCAGGAGGCGGAGCTAATAAGTGCCTGTGCTTTTCTGAATTACTTTACTTCTGCAGGTATGTAGGGAAGAACAACCAAGGATAGTTTTATAAATTGGATATTGCCAATACTGGAGTCTGCGTGGGACAGGGCAAACCATCCAAGCTCGAAACAAAAAGGCAAGTTTGGTGCGTGAGGTTTTTTAAATTAGTAAAATCTCAGTGCTTCTTGTGATAGGACCCTGTCCAAAACTGTAGGGCATTTTGAAGATGCATTCATATATAAAACATCACCATAGTCCAACACAGACAAAAAGGTTGCAGCAACAAGTCTTTTTTTGGCTTCAAAAGAAAAACAAGATTTGTTTCTAAAGTAAAAACCTAATTTTATCTTTAAACTGACTGACACGAATGTGCCAATCTGCTTCAGAGGCCACAAAAACAATAATGTAATGGTATAATTAAATGGGCAGCTACTTTCAGTCAGTCATTGTGGTAACTATCTTTGCAGAAAACAATACAAAGCTGTATTTGAGCTGAGATTTTTTCTGCCTTTTTCCAACTCATTTGTCAGTGAAGCAATTAGCTTCTCTGCCCTCCTATTAGAAACCGTTTAAGCCTTCAGTTATTTCAAATACTCAATTGAACTGTTCCATTTAGACTGCAAGTCTTCTATCTTCAGCCTATCAAGCAACACTGACAGACTGGTGTTCCCTGGCAGTGACACAGGCTCTCAAAGAGATGTTTCATTATCACCCCGGTCTCATTTCTGTGCTGAGTTTTATCATCTGAAGTTAAACTCAACATTAATAAACATCTCAATGCTCTGACAGGGACAAGAGCCCCTTTGTAAGTCTACTTCAGCTCACACTTTTGTTTTAGTTCAGTTTCTTCAGTGTGAATAAGAATCTGAAAGATAAGTTCATCCATTAGGATGGATGCACCACTATTCATATACAGTACATCTATACATATACGTTCTATTCAAGTGTCTCAGTAAGCCAAAAATTAAACATCAGAATCAGCAATTTCTTATGACAGGCTGATGAGATGACGCTTGAAATATACTGTTAACTACACTAATTGCTTATAAAGTTTCCGAAATGGATAGCAAAGTTGCTATTTGCAATGATTGCTCGGGGCCAGTCACTCCTTCAAGTTCAATTACCCATCTTAAGAGCTGTCATCCCCATCATCATGATGCATTTGTGAAGAATGAAGAGAAACAGGCACCAGAAGAGAAAAAAAAACCTGTCATCAGGCTCTTCAGTCTTACTACAAAGCCAAAGAAAATAACCACGACCACCCCAGGGCCAAAGGCATCAATCAGAAACTCCTGGAGTGTACTGTTCTAGACAACCAGCTGTTTTTGTTGGCTGAAGATGTCAGAATTTGTGGACTACGTTGAGCCACACTCTACACGATGCCCAGTCTCAGGTATTTTTCAGTGGTGGCCTAACCTGAGTTGCAAGCCGTCATCTTATTTTTGAATTATTCAGTTAATATTTTATTGAGCATACGGTCTGTAAAGCATATAGTTTAGGGTCATTTATTCACCAGTGTGAAAAAGACTACTACTACGTCTATAGAATCACTGTACGGCATCGGCCAAAATGAGCAAGAAAATATATTCAATATTGAGCATCCCTAAACTGAGCACTCAGATGTGTGCTGCCTGCTACTCACACATGACAGATTCTGTTGCAGCCTCAGTTCATTATACATTCACGCAATAGGGCAACGTACTGTATTTAAGCCTTCGGTGCTCAGCTGCTGCTGCCTTTTCTGAAAGCACCCCTGCATCCACCTGTAGGCTTTGAGACTAATGTACCCTGGAAGGTATGTCATTGTCAAACCCCTTAGTGCTTGGTGTATTCTTGTGTGGAGTGACAAGGTCAGAGCTTAGATGCTAAATAACAACTCCGTACATATTATGCATTCACGTAACAACCAGTTGGCTGGCTCAAATATACTTAACACAGAAAGATGGCACTGTTCCACGGCGTTACCCTGCAAGCTATTTATTTTGTGTATTATACATTTAATGTTGTGTGTCTTTGGAATGCATTACACAAAAGCTGAAACTTCAAAACTTTGCCTCACTAATCCTGCACTTAGCTCACCTTAACATTTAGTGTAACATTTAGGAGGAAACTGAATATAATACTCATAGGTATGTTTTCATAATATAAGAGAATTTTTAAGAAGAAGAGAATATAAGAATTGTTGTGTTTTCATTACCTTAGAATGAGCTGTTGTCCACAAACGCCATGGGTCGCCTTTTATGGAATCTGCCATGTAGAACCACCACGTTTCTACAGTAGCCCAGAATGGACAAACCAAACATTGACTGTAGATAGTTTTGCGGCCACCATAGTTTCTCCTACACACTTCACAGCC